GGTATTCCCACCAGTAGGCTACATACCATCCCCCTACTTCCGAGAACGCATCATCGAGCTGGCAGGCGAAGGTGTCTTGCCAGGATGGGATGCCGATGAGGGAAATATCATTGGCCCAGGAACGAAAGATCAGCTAAAGGGCTTGGACGGCAAAATCATTGACATCCCCCAGAAGTGGGCCCAAAAATGGGGATTAACCGAGAAGACGTGGGTTAGTGAAGGATGTAAGTGAAGTCACGAAAGGCGACTTAAAGCGTAGTGAGCTGATGCCTTACATAGTGATGGACAGATTGGACGAGCTTTGGCCGTTGATCGAGATGCACAATGTCCACAAGATCACTTACCCTATCGGTGACGGAAAGTTCAAGGACGACTATGCGAATAGCAAAGAAGTCATCAAGAGCATCAAAGAGGAGCTACCTTCAGGAACCTGGAAGTGTGAGCTTATCACTGTCGAGAACGAGAGCGAACTCAAAAAACTCCAAGGCGGTGATGATGGATGTGAACGCGTGATCAGAGGCACCGTCAAGGACGGGAAGAGATCAGCCTTCCGCAATGTCGGTGACAATTGTGGCAGCACGAAAGAGGGTGGAGACGATGGGTGGTGCGGGAAAGAATGTAAGATTCTACTGCTGTCACTCTGAAGGGAGCAGTGATGAGTCTGACAGTATATTTAGTACACGCCGAACTTCTTAAAGCTTTAAAACAAGTTCGCAGCGGCCGAGTGAGAACCGGAGAAAGTATCACGGAAGATACGGGAACGGAACAAGTGGAAAACGCAGCGAAAGACACGGTGGAAGATACCGTGGAAGGCACTGCGAAAGAACAAATTGAAGATAGACCGGAAGGGAAAGTGGAAGACAAAGTGGGAGACAAAATAGAAGACACTGCGGAAGGCACGGCAGAAGACCCGGTGCAAGGCATAGTGGAAGATGCAGCGGCGCCCAGCAAGGAGCTCTCGGAATGCAAGATCACTTAGGTATTACATGAAATGCAGGTGCAGCTCTATGGCAAAGTCACAAGTATACTAAACCAAGGCACATTTCTCATAATTTGCATGATACGATGAGTGATAGTCGAATGTTTCGGCATCCACGTTAGCAACATTCTGCATATGCAGACGGGATCAGTTTGCGCTAGTATAAATGCTGACGATATGGCTAAACCGAGACTCACGGAATGAGAAAGTGCTCCTCATGAGTGCTCATATATGCGACAGTCATGCATTGACAAACAGCAGTCATATCTTGACTCGATAGCTGTGAGCCACATGATGACACCGCGCAAACATAAAGCCGGATACCTTGCAGCTCTTTCAATCTCCACTCCTTCTTGCATACCAAAAGGTCATTTATTCCATTCTCCTCGGTCTACGTATCTACCGAAGCAAGACTCTTGTTCTTCAAACATGAGGGATGTCATAACAGTAGAGTATCCCGACCCGGCAGACCCTAAAAATGAACATGGGATGTTCCTCACGGGCTACACGAACGACGATAGAATCATCCTTGAAATCCCTGACATCGCCGATACGCTGGGAGATAGACGCTGGAAATGCAAGCTCTATCTCCATCCAGATCGCAACGGTCCGACTAAGGAGGAACTTGAGACTGACAGAGAAATTGCATATCGTAGAAAGAAGAGTGAGGACGAAAAGCGCGAGGACAGGGAGAAGAGGGCACTCGACAGGAAGTGGCAGCTCTCTAGAGGCCGACACAGCAACGAAAAGTCCTCCAACAACAATGCATACGAAGATGATGAGGATGAGATCGAAGTATGGGCAACGACGGGCTGTAAGGCATTGTTCCAGTTCTCAAAGCCGCTCATGATGCTAACAGACAACACAGTGAGTGAAGCCTATGAGTCCGTTGTGAAGAAAACCATCGATATCTGGGTGGAGCAAGAATTGAAGGATAAAAGCGAGTGGCGATACGAGATTGTGGAATACGAGATTGTGGGAAGCTCGGGGACGGAAGAAGCAGAATCTTCCAATGGGTAATGACGATAATTGGCAGCTGCGGATGCGTGAGCGGTAGTAAACAATTCATGGTTGTGCTGTAGCATTAGCACACGAAGCAAGGAAAACGAGTGAAGAGTGACGATGTTGGTGAGCTCTCAACATAGCCTAGATGTCCATGCACGCCTCCATTTCACGGTCGAGTGTACGACTCTCCACAGTCAACACAACTGTAGTAGAGTCAGACCATGGAAAGAAGAATGGTAATGGGAACAACAAAACTTCGATTTTTGCCGCCCTATATAAACTGAGCGTGGGTATCATGAACTGCCTAAACGCGCTGTAACTCCCTGACAAATACAATTACATCTCAAAACGTTGAAAAGAATGCCGATAGCAAACCCTAGAGGTCCTCATCGCGTCGAAACCCAGACTCTCAGTGACCGTTGAGACCGTCGCTGAATTTCCGCTTTTTAGCCTCGCGCTCACCATCCTGGGGCGGGCGGTATTGGTCCAGCTTGCCCTGCAGACGGTACGTTTCCCGCTTGATATTTTCGGCATTAGCCAAAAGGTCCATCTCGGTGACCGGAGCTTCAATACTAGCCAGCACGCTCCTAACAGTGCTGATATGATTGGCATCCTTTTTGTCGTCGCGCCAGCGCGGCGTGCCGTCCGCCTCAGCCTTGTATTTCCACTGTCCACCTTCTGTGCGGTAACATTCTATGATACGGCCGTCGAGGCGTTGGTTCAGGGATTTGAGCGTCTCCCATTCGGTGGGGGTAACGGAGAGGTTGGCGAAGACCTCGTAGTGATTCGCGTTGTGCTGCACGAGCAGCTGCAGGGGGGTGGGCATGGCGTCGTAGTCGGGAACGAGGCCGTCTTCGCCGTCTTGTGGGTCTATGAGCGGGAAGTCGCCGAGGCGGAGCTTGAAGTCAATGGTGTTCTCGTGCGGTGGCTTCCACTTGAGGATGTGTCTGTCGGTACCGAACTGGTAAGGTGTGGATACGCAGGTGAAAATTAGGCCGTCGTTGCCGTGTCGGAGGTTGGGGAGGATGCTGCTGAACATGTCCTCGAGCTTGTATGCAGGGTAGGTCTTCTTTCCTTTGAGAGCAAACGGCTTCAGGTCGTCTGGTGTGATGTTCTTGCCAAATGTCCTAGTCAAGCCGGCTTCGTACGGCTTGATGACCCATTCATGCAGCCGACCCAACCGCTTATCCAGTGTCCTTTGCGTCACATTTGTATTATCCACCGCCAAGCAATCGAAGACATAAAAGTTGAGACGTGGTGCAGGCTCGTTTGGATATTGGTCATGGACCAGCTCGCCGTCCAGAAGGGTTCCGAATAAGAATGGCTCGGCTTCGTTCAGGTGCTGGTAGTGACGTATGCGAAATGGAGGCTGGACGTTGTAGTAGTTGTTCTTCCTGTCGATCAGGAAAGTCACAGGCTCGAAAGCTCCGGTCGGTCCCTCTTGCCAGTGCAGGTAGAGCAGGCAGCGCAAGCCGTCCGTCTTCTCGCACATGTAGTATTCATTGCGTTGGAGCTCGGTGACGTGTTCGCGCGAAAAGGATACGGGTTGCGCGCCGGGAAAGCGCGGATTGTCGCGTTCGAGGAGTTCGGCGACAGATTGCTTGAGTGAATGCGCCTCGTCATTTGGGATCTGGAAGCCTGGAATCTGCGGCGGCGCGTGCGATGGTAGCGTGGCGGCCGGCATATTGGGAAGATACTGGAGGTATTCGAGGCTCCGTAAGAGTTGGGACGTCGAGCGCGATCAATTTCGTATGCGGGAGCGGCTGCAGGAGGGTTGGTTCTCGTCCGCAGTCGCAACAGTAGTTGTACAAGCGATAGATCGACCGGGCGAGCTTACGCGCTAGTGAAGGGTCTGCTTATGTAATCGCTGGCTACGGCTGCCTAGGCACGGCTGTGGCATGGCCCATCATGCTTCTGACCTCGCCTAAGATTCAGGGAAGCCTTGATGTATCCGCACTACAGTTCCCACCATGCCGATTGTCTTTTGTCGCATCAATTCCGTTAAACGTCATTCTGCCAGCGTACCGACTGCCCGATATAATCTATTGCAACCATGGTACTACGACCACGCACAACGCCGCGCCTATAAGCCATTACCAAGCATATGACACCAACATAGAAACTGAAAACTCAGAGGCATGAATTCCTTTGCTCTGGCCGAGACTTCTCTCCCTGTTCAACAGAATCATCACCACAATTCTCACATCCAGTTACTGCCAGACTCCATACATACGATGAGCGACTTACCCACTGAGATATGGGCCATGGTGTTCGCATATTCCGACGATACCGAACACCTCTGGCTTTCCTGCCGTCACGTCTCCAGCAATCTGAAGGCTGCCGTCGAAATATACACCAGCACCATCTTCCTCCCAAATTTCCTCACGGTATCCCTCGAATATCAGAGAAAAAACAAATCGACCATATCCTGCAGTCGCGGTCTTTTCAAAGGATACTCCCCAGACAAAACCCTTGCTTACTTCGATATGAGCCGTAACGACCGGCCATTCATTCAGTACATTGACACGCAGCGAATGTGTCTCTACGTCGACAAACTACAAAGGGGATGGACAAACAAGGGGTTTGAAGTGCTGGCGAAATTGAAAGGGCCAGATCACGACCGTGCGATCTTTGTCAGACTTTTGGATGGCGTCACTGCTAGCCCTGCGGATAGTAACGAGGGAGTTCTCACCTTTGGGCTCGACTTGGAAGATAGGATCTTGTCCTTTGACTGGCGAGAGGTTATGACCAAGAGCTTCATGGATAGTACTGATTGCGGGGGATATCTTATCGACCACCTGGCGTGGCGCGGTCGTGATAACAGGTTTCCCTGGTGGTGTTAGTGGTGGTTTTGGACTGCTCTATCGGAAATGAAGTTGGGAATGTTTGTGGGATGAAAAGGAAGAAACAGCTCTGATGTGTTGCTAAGGATAGGCTCTATCGCGATTGCACATATCAAATGGAGAGTGTTTGAGGGCTGTATAAGAGGTTTTGTTGGCACTGAACTCTAATCAAAGGGTATGTAGTCTAATGGCCAAGACGCCCACTCTTTCAAGGGTGTCGTCGGGCTAATGAGCTCGACGATTCATGGAGATGCGGGTTCGAGTCTCGCTGTATCCAATCACCTTTTGCTTTTTGTATCGTTCTTTGGCTGGTCTATTGGAGATGGACTTAGAGATGTCTGGCGAGGGACAACAAAGAACAGCCATGACGAATGCGACAAAGAAGCACTACGAGGACTGTACATCGCGATTAAGGACATCTTCGCGGTATTTAAGAGGTATTATCCGTGTCAAATGTCAGTCAAAGGGTACATGGTCTAATGGCAAAGGCGCCCACTCTTGCGCAAGTGAGAGTGACGCTGAACTAGACGGTAACGTCTAGCACAGCAGTGAGGAGATGCGGGTTCGAGTCTCGCTGTATCCACTTACATTTTGCTGCTTGCATTGTTTTTGCCTTCATCGTTATTATCTCGTCCTAGAATTGTGCTTCTTGATCGATACATAGTCCTAGCTACTCTGAAGACTAGAGACTGCTGAGGTTTAGCTATCTTACCAAACAGAACAAAGGATTATACAGGCAATTCAAATTCCTGCAGCTATATGTGCTAGAGCAGGCCAGTTCTATTAGGAGGTAGACGTTGGTGAACAAGCGCATACCGGGCTCGCTTTTCACTAGAACGCCAGGCTTCATATTTGGAAGAGATCCAAGCTTTCACTTGATTCAACGCCACTTCCTCGTACCATGGAAGGTCTCCGCTTTTTTCGAAAGGGGAGATTGCGTGTTCCAGTACAGGCTTTCAAGTTTTCGAAAAGCAACCCATGCATAAATCCACCGAAACCGCCATGTTGTTGCCACCCCTTTCTCTCTTTCTGGCAGTCGTCACCGCTTGTCCACCGCCTCTTAACAGCTTCAAATATGTAGCCAATGATACCCACACAACATCACAGATGATCTCAAGTCTACTTGTATCTAGAGACGAGTCTTCACTAGATCGCAGATGGACTGAGATTGTAACTATGGTATGCCCATCCCTACGCCCCAACGCATGACGTCCAACTGACCGTTCAGCTAGACCGGACAGCCACGAACAGTATGGCCCGACGGACTGGTCCGATACTGTTTCGAAGACGAGAGCGCCCGCAATAACTTCAAGGACGACATCGACGCAGCCTGGAAACTCTGGGTGGACAAAATTGGTGAGCCCGGCTGTCCAAGCGGTCACATACTTCAGTTCAGGGAGTACAGAGTCAAGGAAGGCGTGTGGCCCTACTGCTACAACAAACGCGAAAAGGACGATGACCCCTGGGTCTGGAACAAGCACGTCAAAAACGACATTGCCGTTATTGCGGAATCTAAAGACACGGAGACGCAGGCTTCCTCGGTCACAGGCTACATACCAAAAGACTGGAGTGACGAGCAAGGGCGACACGGCATCCATCTCGGTCTGTCATTCAAGCAAAAATACCCGCCAGATTACTGGATCACAACCGTCGCCCACGAACTAGGCCACCTATTCGGATTCTGGCACGAGCACCAACGCGAAGATCGCAACGACTACGTCCACTTCGACTGCTCCAAACTGCGGGGTTACGCCGCTGCGAAAGCGAAGGTCGAAGCAGCCAAGGAACATACCATGGAACAAGTCTGCGCCGACTACCGTCTAGCTCTCCAATACGACTTCCCCGCTGTCCAAGACTACGACACCATTGACCATATCGCACCTCTCCGCGAGGGGGGTATTGAGTTACCATTGTACATCAACAGTGACATAGAGTTTGACGACGAATCTATCATGTTGTATACCTCTTCGGAGTTCGCGAACGACGGAGCCAATACAGACGACGTCCTACAGGTCCCATTAACCTTCTGGAAACACCGCGGTATAGGTTTTGATCCACCGAGCCCAGTCACAAAAGAAGACCTAGAAATCATCGACGTGCGATGGAAAGTCAGCGACGGAGATGCAGACGGCGTGCGTCATCTCTACCCTTATGTCGACTCGGATGAAGAAATGGAGAAGAGAAAAAGAGACCAGCCTGGCCGCCGTACCTGGATAGAGTGGACGTCTGAGGTTAATAGCATGGTATAACTGATCTGATACCAAGGTAGAAGTATTATGTATTACAAAGACATGTAAACGGCGATACGTTCGTTCGGTCAACGAACAGCGCCGTATCTGTGAGATAGATGAAGAGCAAGATCTTGAGTGGGGTATATAGCGAACCGAATGAATCCAACCGGCCCAGTACGTCGCAGCGCAAGATCGTCCAGTCCATCGTCGTGTGCCGTTAGCGCCAGAGATCCAAAATCCAAAATCCAAAAGGCGCGTAGTCCTACATATCGTACATAATGTTACAGCGTATTAAAACAGGTTTGCGAGCCAGCCGGGGTCTCGTAACTAGATCCAAAAAAGAACGCCTCACTGGAAAGAATGGTCCCGGATCCCGTAGTAGTGGTGGTGTTACATATATTACAAATGACATGTTCTCGTAAAACACGTCTCGGTTGCGTCGGTCGGTGAAGTTAACGCGTGTGATTCCTTAATCGCGGCTCTAGAAAAAGCCCTTGCTCTTCCCAGATCCAAGTTTCGGACTCATAGGTCCAAAGAGCTTCATATCGGTATTCATCTTCTTAACAAACACCAAATATGCCTCCAGCGCCTCGTCTTGCGTCTTAAAAGTCTTATCCCGATTCATCCACATCTTGAGGTATTTATCCGCACCGACATCTTTCAGCGCTGCGTACCAGCCGCCCGACGACCGCTGGCGCAACGATATCGCGAGGTTCTTGCCTTTGAGACCCGTCACGTTGGACGCTTCGCGGAGGCAAGCAGCGCGTAAATCGCTGTATTCGTCGTCTTCGAGGGAAGAGGATGACGACGTTCGCTCCATCTTTGGTCGCGACGAGGACGTGCGAGCATCGAGTTTGGGCCGCGAGGGTTCTTTAGGTTTGGGCGCGGGTTTCGATTCAGTCTTCTTGCGTGACGGGGTAGAAATCTTGGGTTCTGGGGCTTTCTTTGGCGGCGCGGCGGCTTTGGGTGTTGGGGGAGTTTTCGGTCGCGAACTTGACTTCTTCTCTGATTTGGATGACTTTTCGGCCTTTTCGGATTTTGACTTTTCCGACTTTTCGGTCTTTGAAGACTTCTCGGGCTTTGAGGCTGAAGGTGTGCTGGTTTTTGACGGCGCGGAGGGTTTCGATGCGGTAGCTGTCTTGGAGGACTTCGACTTCGATGGCGTTGGCGGTGTGGGCTTTTCTGGTGGCGATGTTCTCGCCTTGAACGAATCGAAAGGACTTGGCCATGCGCCTATGGCTTTGGGTGTTTCTTCGACCACTGGCGCATCTTTCTTTGACCTGGAGGCTTTCGCGGGCGTCTTTGGTTCTGGGGCCGCCTTAGTCGCAGCAGAAGCCTTGAGTGGCGCGCCTCTCCTTCCCGTCGCGACCGGAGGCGGAGGAGCAGCGTCAGGAACCGCAGCCTCTCCAAAAAGCTGCCGTGCTCTATCCTTTACACTGGGAAACATCGCGTGTTCGGATCTGGGGTGGTATAACTCGGGCCGACTATACCGCTGATGGAATCCAAAGTGCTAAACGCGCGATTACGATTAAGAGGTACTACAAATACACAATGACAGCGCGCGTCGAGACTATGCGGAATGGGAGAAGTAAACAAGATGCGTAAAGAGATGGAAACATAATTGGGGACCTCGGGATGGGGATACGGATTATTCTGGTGCCTAGTTGTGCAACCATGACACGCCCCATGCCGCATCGGCCAGCATGCGAACAGGCGTTCACATCCAAATTCTGCGTAAATGAGCTAGCGGCCGCTTCTAGAACGCCTGAGAGCATCTCGGAATGCGGGTGGCAAGCGGGTCCCGCGGTTGTTGTTTTCAACGTTATCGATTGAGCATGCTGGACGCGACTCCTGCCATGCGCGCCTGAATTGACCTCAGGATCATTGCTCGACTTGATCAGCTTGGAAACCCATCTGACAGCTGGAAAAGAGATCGTTTCATCGCAAAATGGTGTACATTGCGATGACCGTTAGGGGCAGTAACGTTACGAGCCACAGTGGCCCCTTTTCCGGAGAACCGGGCTGTGCGGGAAATTGGAACGGGGACGAAGGACTGCGCGGCAAACACCTTCCGGATGAGAACAATGGCCACAACGCTGCGCAAATGGTGTTGGAGGAATCAGTTGTATCGTTGTCAGACGTTTGTGATGGAGATGAGATGAGTTGCGATAAGGTGAGTTATCTTGGGCTGCATTGTGCATGCTGCACGTCAGTCAACGTGCAGCGAAACGGGTTCGGGATGTGGTATAGCGGGCTCCACCCCTTTAGCGCTCCCTATTTTGAGCCGCGTCTCTCATCTCATCCCAGATACCCCATATCTGTCCTTCGCTTACCCAGCCGTTCGCGCTCCCTAGGGATGCCTTGACATCCTGCTGAACCAGCCACTTGGGTTCTCAAACTCTGGAATTCATGTATCACAATGGTAGCTCCAAGGTTGTCTATGGTTTGTCTGTGATTATTCCAGCGCTTCCATGACACCCGGATCACTCGCGGCTCCCCGTGAACCTTACCAGTCCCAACCATTCTGCTTTTCAGCCGTTACTATGGCGTCCCCTCAAGAATCCATCGGTATGGCTCTCCCCAGGTACTGGCCAACGACCCGATCAGCACCTCCAATAGACCGAAGCGAGAAAACCGTACGTAAAACACATAAAAAGGCTAGGCATATGGCCCAACAATTTCCTGTGTTTTGGCCCAAACCTTGTCCTGGGCGCCGCTCGCCCTCAATCTCGCCAGCGGCTTCTCGTTCAGCGTCGTCTCACAAGTATGCCATATCAGGAACAAGCCTCCGTCTTTCTGTCCTACCGTGTTCTTCCCTTCCTCAATACCTTCCCTCAACGGCACACCTTTCCCTCCAAAAGCCGCACTGGTAATTTGGTACAAATACCTCTCGCCGGCCTCCTCTTCCCTATACGTCATGATCCTGATAACCGGATCCATGAACATCCAAGCCGCCCACGAGCCCCAAGACCCTTCCTTGAATCCGCGAAACAGGTTTCCCGTTCGCACACTCCCCGGAGCCGCGTGTATGAAGACAATATCCTTG